GGTTGGAGTGCTTCTCCTGGATGAAGCAGAATCAGACTTGCTGGACCCTGCACGTCTGTCCTGCATTTTGGGCTGTTGCAAGGACACCATGATCTTCACCATGTTACGGTGTTTCTTCATCATGTGATCGGCTAACTGCTGCCTTTGCGAAGTCTGAAACCCACACCACTCACAGTCAAAGCCTCCTCTTGACTGGGGCGTGATCATAGATTCCAGCACATTACGTTCTACATCCCCTGGCGACTCTTCACATTGTTCTTCAACAGAGGAGGCGTCAGAGTTCAAATCCAAAACCTCTGCTCCAACAGGAGGAGCCGAGTGGCCTGGTAGACCTTCTTTGTGATACATTTTCTGGTGTTTCAGAATCCGTGCTCTGTGTGGGGATTTATAAGTGCAATACTGGCAGGAAAAGACCGTTCCTACACCATCGTAAGTCGTAGCGCTGCAGCTGGCCTTCTTGGAAGTTTTGAGGGATCTCTCATCGCTTGCTTCTCCATGGACCTTCCTGGTGTGTTCACTGAGAAGAGAGCTGGATCTGAAGTACCGCACACAGAACTTGCACTGGAAAAATGGAGTTGACGTTTTGTTCGAAGGTTTTGCTGTCTGGTTGCGTTTCGCTTGCTTTGAACCAGAGAAGTGCCCAAGGTCTTTGTTAATGGATTGGATGCCTGAAACATGAACAGAGAAAGAAAAACATTTCAAATGGCAGAACAACTCTTCTGATGTAGTTTCTTTCACTCTAGAGGTCTAATACTTATGGGTCATTATACCGGTTTCTTTTTTTAACGAGTCGTAATTGTGATTGCTCAAGTCTTCCTCGTCCTCTGTTTGGCTGAGGGAGTTTAACGAGTTTGACCTGGACTGTCTGGGTGACTCGTCACCTTCTCCCACTTCTGTGGGCTGCAGGAAGGCCGTGTGGACGTCTTGTATGTGCGCCTTGAGCTCATCGTTCGACTCTGCACGGAAATCACAGCCATCGCACTGCAGCACTTCCATCGCTTAGGACTCCCTGGAAAATCAGGGAAACCTGGTTAGAGACAGAAAGAAAGGGGTAAGAGAATAGAAACTCAGGCCATAAACCAACACTTGGAAAGGAAATTTCACAGCATTGCATTTCACAGCAAGACGAAAGCATTCTGAAATTCTGACAAGGCAGAATTCAACAGAAGAATCTTTATTTTTTTGGCGAGGGGTCAGTCTGCTCCAAGAACAATAGCTGAGGAGGGATTATGGGCTGATTTGTTCCATTTTTTATTACCCAGGGATAAGCCTCAGCTGGAGCACACCAGTGGGCCTTGGTATTTACATCAGCATGTTCCATCAGATTGCATCAAGAAATAAGATAGAGTGAATCCGCTGAGGGATGAGGAACGCTCAGGGCTTTAGAGATGCAGTACAAACACAAAGGATTATGGGGCGGGCCGTCACTTGGAGGTGGCATTATTATGCCCCGTGACCTAAGAGCACCCGGCAACCGCATCAATCAATGAGCTGAAACAAAGTATGATTCCTTCCCTGATCAATACTTTTTCATTAACACTCGCACAGCTGCCAAATTCAGCACATACACATGCTTGTCTGTGCAGAAATCCCTGCTGTATTTGGGAATATTGCAATATTTCATTAGATTGCACTGAAAATGTTCATAAACCAATCAAATTAAAATCTAAAATTGGTTGAGTAAGTTTGGAATATATGATTTGAATCAAAATAATTCACCACTAACCTCACGTAAACCTTAAGTCCAAAAATACATATACAACCACAACCGCCGCTTTTCTCTATAATACCAAGTAGTTTTTCCGGTAAAAGGCCATGTACAGAGACAGCGAGCATGTTTTTCTTTCATCAAGGGTCATTCTCAATGTGATCTGTGTGGCAAGGACATGAATATTAGAATGAACTCAACAACAGGAATGCATTTAGCAGTCATACAGCACGGTACCAGCGCTGCAGATCTGAAAGCCATCAACACAAACCAGAGTAAACCTTCAGCCTTGGCTGGCTCACGCACCAGAACACATTCTGCTGGTGATTTCTGCAAGAAAAGGCCTCAATGTCAAGGCCAGTGTTATATGGGTTTAGTGCAACGCTACACATTAGAGGAGGCCTTGAATGCTGTAAAAACAAACAAAATAGATTCTACTTGGATCTTATTCATTCTAAAGGCACAATGAACCATTTTTACCGGT